TATGAGTATGTGTCACTATCTTGAATGGAAGATTCAGGTACCGCGTCTTTATCATTATTAGATAATACAGGTAGATTGGTATAAAAATGGTAAATTCATCAAGTGTAGCAACTGATTTGCAAAGTTAGTAAATCTTCTTGAACTATTTTGTATTTTCAGAGCTTTTTTTTTCGACCTTTCAAGCATATCCCTCTCTTGGTTTTTGAAGATTAGCTATATCGCGGAAAGAAAGGGTGGCGTAATCACCTCGATTTCGGAACAATCGAGAAGGGCCAGAGAAGGCTCTAGGTAAAACAAAACAAATGACTTAGGCAAAATGTTCAACAAATACATTCAACAAAAATAAGTGTTCTGGCCTTTGTCTTGTTTTGGTAGCAACACTATTAGGAATCAGACTAAATACATTTAGCAAAAATAAGTTATATGTATCCTATCGGGTTTTGGTAGACACACAATTAGCAATTGAACACAATGTTATAATTATGTTTCATTATAAATGCCACTCAACTTGTTTGTCCATATTGTGAATGTATTAATATGGAGTTAGTTTTAATTGGCCATCTATTTATCATGAACATAGACTTCATTTCACTTGTCTTGTTTATGCCGTATACTATTTTGGAGACAAAAGTGCATTCTCGAAAATGCCAAAAGTGGCGTCATCATGTTTTAGCGCAGTGACCGATGAATGTTTTCGCGTATTTCGCTCAAGATTTTAAATACAGAAACATAGTTTTAAAAAGCATCTTCTTAATAGTGTTTCGGACCGCAAAAAAAAAAATGAGAACCGCATGCGGCCCGAGGGCCGCAGGTTGAGTATGTCTGCTCTAGACACTCTAGATCAGTGTTTCTTAAACTTTTTTGGCGACGGAACCTTTTTGAAGAGCTAAATATTTGACGGAGCCCTAAACACATTTCTAAAAAAAACCTTGCAAACAAGCAAAATCATATTCTTTCTTGGTGAAAAAAGTCCTCAAACCAGGTCCTCCGGCGAACTTCCTCATAGTACTGCTTCACTGTTTTTTTTTTATTATGACTATTAATTTCTTTCCGGAGCCCATACAGGCTTTGCGGAGCACACTTTGACAAACACTGCTCTAGATCAACTACTAATGCTAATACATTCGCCCAACCATTCTATAGAGAAACTTATAGTTCTCATTCTTTTATTACTAGAATGATAAGTTCTGCTAATCAATTTAATATAGAATTGATTATATCTTCCAAAAGAATTTACTAAACAGTTACAATATATGAGATTTAGATTTTTCATTAATTGTTTATTAATAATTAATATGTATATATTTTTAACTGACTTCAAAAAAGGAGGAGGTTTTCAATTCGTCGTAATATTTGTTTTTTTTATGTATGTTCAGTGATAATTCTTTAACACGGTGTCCGATTTCTTATAATTGGGTCCATTAGAAAATCCTCAAACTCTTCATTTTTAATGTATGTTTAGCGGTAATGAATAGGAACCAGTTGAAAGTGATAACAGGGTTCATGACTGGGCACACCCCAGTAAAGGGACACTTGAACAAAATTGGCATGTACAATGGGGAACTCATGTGCCGACTATGTCACAAGAAACCAGAAACGGCCAAACACATACTGTGCGAATGCGAAGCTCTAGATCGCAAAAGACAGGCTCTTTTTGGACAACCCCAGGTTGATCCAACAACGTATAGAATTCATTCACCCAAAGATCTGTACAAACTTGTACAAGGTACAAAGGTGACAGAGTGGGTGCTATGAACTAACATGGGGTAAAACACAATAAGCCAATACGCTTCAGTGTTATTCGGAGACACATAGTCAGACGAGCCCAGGAGAAGAAAAAAAAGCGGTAATTTTTTACCACCTTGTCCAATTTCTATGATTCTTTTTTTGTTAGTAAGGGGGTACCTCAGGGGTGGACCCATATAAATTTGGTCAAAATCTAATAATTGGGTCCATGAGAAAAATCCTCAAACTCTTCATTTTTTATGTATGTTTAGCAATAATTCTTTACCACCTTGTCCGATTTCTATGATTCTTTTTTGTTAGTAAGGGGGTACCTCATGGGTGATCCCACATAAATTTGGTTAAGATATGGTGACGGCATCTGCACGATTTTGAAGTCACTTTTTTAAAATTACTTTTAATACTTGTAAATTAATTCATTATTATTTAGGATTTTTTTAATATTATTGAATAACTGTAATATGTATTATGTTTTAATGGGCTCTGATCCGTAAATAAATATCAAAATGTTTGAAAAATCCCTGACTACAATGCACAATTTCCCATTCATGTGATAAATAAATCAATGTTCTTAACACCCGTTTCCGAAAATGATATTATTAAACATATAAATAGCTTAAAAAAGTTCGCCAGAGATGGATAGTGTAATGGTAAAACATTTAAAACTTTTTCTTTTATACTTTCGAAAACCACTGAAACACAATTATAATTTAATTTTTGATTCAGGCACTGTAACAAAACAGTTCAAACACATATATAAAGCAGGAATAAGTAACTACAGACCTAGAAGTTTAATTCGTAATAATGCAAAAAATAAGATTTGCTTAAAACACAGATTTAAGGAGGTCCTTTCGCCACCAATGTTAAATAAAAAATATTAGATTATGACTAAAATTTATTTTATTTCTAATAGTTGAAGTCCTTATTTATCTAATAGTGAACTTTTAACTATACCTTAACGTGCAAATTTTTGAGAATTTTTTTTTTAAAAATGTGAGTAGTTGTACAGTGTCTTACGAGAAAGTAAGACTTTAACAACAATTTTCGAATTATACTATTATTTATTGATTAGATGGAGTAGAAAAAAACTAAAAATAAGGTTCTTTAAATATTTAGGTTTTGTTTTTTACAATAAAATATATAGTTTACCATGGAATTTATTGAGAAATTAATATAAAAAAAAATTTCAAGTAACCTAGTTGAAATTTTTTTGTGATTTTTTAATGTTAATTTCTCAATAAATTCCACGGTGACCTATATATTTTATTGTAAAAAACAAAACCTAAATATTTCAAAAACCTTATTTTTAGTTTTTTTCTACTCCATCTAATCAATAAATATTAGTACCCTTAATTATAATTCGAAAATTGTTGTTAAAGTCTTACTTTCTCGTAAGACACTGTACAAATAATACTCACATTTTAAAAAAAAATCTCAAAAATTTGCACGGTAAGGTATAGTTAAAAGTTCACTATTAGATAAATAAGGAATTCAACTGTTAGAAAAAAATTCATTTTAGTCATAATCTAATATTTTTTATTTAACATTGGTGGCGAAAGGACCTCCTTAATTAACTTCCTAAAAATTAATGACTCACTTCCTAAATTTGAATTTGGTTTTACGGAGGCGCTTAAGCAATGCATGAATTAGTATCATAGTAGCTGAAGAGATGAATATCAATAATAAGTGCATAGCAGTATTCTCTGATTTAGCAAAGGCCTTTGATACGGTGTCACATCAGAAACGTTTAAATATTCTAGATCAAAATGGAATGAGGAACATGGTAGAGAATCTCGGTAGTCCAAAAATTATACAAATTGGTATCCCACAACGTACAGTTCTAAGGCCAATATTTATTTAATATGTTTATAAAAGGTTTAAGTGAGATTAACACACAGGGTAAAGTAACATATTTCAAAAACTTCCTTTGAACAGATTCAACACTAATCATGTGAATATTATAGTAGGGATACCAGATGGTTGAACAGTAGTCAAGCTTAGAGTGGATGTATGAATAATATAATGTTTTAATGCTCCAATATCCCTGAATCCACGACAGTTCCATATAACAAAACCATACATTTTGTTTGCATCAGAAGTGACACCCAGATCAGTGATAGAGGAAAAAAGTGTCAAATCTAAACCATTAATATTATAATAGAAATCTGCAGTAGTGTTGATATGACATGCAGATTAAAAAAATTCGCCATACATTACCGTCTCGATGATGGTGGGTGAGGTTTTCCGGGTTTTCCTCACCTGTAAGTCAAATGGCACCATCAATCATCTTTAAGTCGCCCCGGAGCGCCACGGCAAATAATAATAATAGCCGTCCCTTTCCCCGGACAAGCTCAGCTTTTGGGGTTAAAATTCACTCGTAAGGGGGTGAATTAGGGAGAGTATTATTATTATTATTATTATCTTTTTCTGATGTATACCATCACTTTACTCTGAGATTCATTTAGCATTAACCTATTTTGCATGAACCAATCTGATAATTTATCTAGGTCCTGCTGAAGCACTAAACAGTCATACATGTCTAGTACTAATATATATATATATATTTTAAAATCATCTGCATAAATTAGTCTATAAGAATTTAAATGGTGATCAAGATCATTAATAAATAACAAAAATAGCAACGGTCCAAGGTTTGAACCTTGAGGGACACCTGATTTTGCAAATTACACTTGTGAAGAATAACCGTTATGAAAAACAACTTGCTACCTTTCCAGAAGATATGATTTACAGAACCTCATCAAGGCATGAGAAAAATCAAACCCGTTCAACTTATAAATCAATATCCCATGATTCGTTTCGTCAAAGGCCTTCGAAAAATCGGTGTAAATAACGTCCACTTGTCCACCTTATCAACCACTTCAGATAAGTGTTAAGTTATGATAAGTAAGTTACTTTCAGTAGACTTTTTATTTAAGAAACCATGCTGTAAAGGAGATATTAGGTTGTGATTGTAAATAACAATCTCGGAGATTTTAGAGAAATTTTACAGAATAGATACAGGACGGTAGTTTTCTTAAAACTTTTAGCGTTTTGCGCAAACGGGAGATATTGTCCGATTTTAATAATTTTTGTTATGTTAGTGCTGTTATGCTAGTATACACCTGAGACAACTTTTCCGTGGTATAGCGAATCGAAAATATTAATTTGAAATTTTTCGCACAACCCTAATGTGGATGTTCCTGTATTCCTAGATTTCTTTAGATCATGATACATATTATAATTTTAAAACTTTTCAGGTCACAACAGACTATACCATCACACGAGCACATGCCTACCGATCTATCCCAAGGAAATGGACGTAGACTCGGAAGGCGAAAACGACCCGGAATGGCTGCAACACAAAACCAGGATGATGATAGATGAATTCACGGACGTCAATGAAGGCGAAAAAGAACTGATGAAGATGTGGAACCTCCACGTGATGAAATACGGATTTGTAGGTGACTGCCAAATTCCGATAGCCTGCCAAATGTTCGTCCAACATAAAGGTAAAGAATTGCTGTTGAAAAACCTGTACAGGAACTTCGTGGTGCACATGACCAGCCTGTTCGACTTCGGTCTAGTTAGCGCGGTGTGTTTGTACACCACTTTACAGAAACTGCAGGAATTGGTTGGCGATTCCGGTCCGATTCGTAATATTTTGAAGCAATCCAGAGAAGCACAAATGGATAACTGGTCCAGGATGGGCAACGTGCTGCCCAGTATCGACAAAGCCATTTCCATTTGCTCCAAGACTCCGAACGCTGGTAGAAAAGCCGGCAATCTATGTATGCAAAGGAGAAAGGGTACGCCGACCCCATGTGATAGCACCACCAGAAGAAAATCAGTCTGCGGCGGAGAATCGTCACGCAAACGTCTTAGCCTTACTGTAAATAAATGCGACCAAAAATCTAGTTAGTAACAGATAATTCATTATCGAATACGGGCGACAATACATTATTTTTATACTTCTAACTAAATAACTCGATAAGCGGCTAATGTTCTATACGAGGTGATTCTAAAATACGCTTTCGACGCTTTTTATTCGAGATTGTCTCAAAAAATTATCAAAAATGAAATATGGTAGGTGGAGTCTAATCTCACTGGTTTTTAAGATAAATATTATTTATTTCGAAAATTATGTATACATCTACATATAATTAGAGATAAATAAATTAACTTCAGTATTTATAAATAATAATAATAAATAATATAATGATGATAATAATAATACTCTGTGACTGAACGACTTGTGTAGAGGGTGTTTTTGGAATAGATAATAAATATGATGTTCAAAAACTAATAGCACCATTAGTGTATCCTGAAAACACCTTTGTTAATCAGGCGCCTATTTAAATACAAATAAAAATCATCTTAGAGATCAAACATCAAATGTTAAAACTTCAGTTACTGTTCGCTGCATTAGTTCAGCTGTTGGCATTATACAATATTTCAAAAAAAAATGTTTTTAATGGTTCAAGGGAAGTCAAAATATTAACCAGTTATAAAATGTGCATGTATTTTAAAAACACCCAGCCCACGTTTTTCTTTTAACATAGTCTTTATATCTCTTTAAGTGTCTAGCCTGTTTGCAGATTGGCTTATATCTGAGACTCAATTCATACATTATAAATATCGCCTGTTTAAACTTGTTTTATCGAATGATTATTTTAAATACAATATTTTTGTCTATAGAGGGAGGCCGAAAGTGAACCTTGTCCTGAGCAGCTTTGCAACGCGACTTTTCGTAGCTATAGTATTATTTTATTTATATATTTATCATACATATTTTATCTCTGCTTTACAATTTTATTGTTAGAATTACTACCAAGAGTATTCCGTATTTGTGACCCCAACGTTATAGCTTCTTAACTCAGCAGCAACCATAGCTGCAACATGTGTAGCCACAATAGTCTCTCACATATCCTTCTGCCTTTTCAGGGCGTCGTATTGGGATCCTGCTCCTTTCTGGACCTATTTCTTCTCTTTTTTCTATCCCTGTTTAATGTCTTTAATTTTCTGCAATATTTTCCCTTATCAATGTTGATCACTTCATTCTGGTCAATCCATTTCCTCCTGCCTCTTTGTTGATTTTCCTATGTCCATTACTTTTTTCAATTCTGCTTTGTTTCATTCTTACTTGTCAACTATGCTAGTTTAATTATTCCTTTTTGATCTTTTTCAGTTAGTTTTCTTGTATCCTCATTCCTTCCTCTGTCCCATTTAGTTTTCCTAGCCAAAACAACAAAAAGTCACCATGTGAACCACATTTTGACAACAACCTTCAAAAATGTTTAATGTACAATGGTTTAACCTTCTTCAACTCGTCCGCGACAATCTGCAACTCATCTACCCTAGGTATGACTAAAATAAGCCCTGCCATTTAAAGTACCGTCTAAGTAAACACTGCCGTCATTTTTACGACCAGGGTTCATGAGTTAGACACTTACAAGATATAACAATTTTCAGAGCGTCATATATTTATTGACAAACTATAAGCGTATTCTAGAATTACGCCGTACATGTTTTATTTTTACTGCCAAAGTAGTTATACTTTTAGATCTATTATTTAATATTTATAAGTTAAAACATCACTTATTTTTGAGTGTTAAACGAGTTAGTCAGTTTTATATAAAGTTTTATCCTGATGGTTTTTTTTATCGGCCAGACAATGCGATGCACGAAAAACGATCTTTTATTAATTACTAAAAATGGGACATTTATTATTAAAATAAAAATGTCATTAATAATATATTTGTAAAAAAAAATCCAAGGTAATGATTGATGACGAATTTCGGATATTGTAAAAAAAAATTGGCATTGTGTAATTATTAACACATTATATCAATTACATGTTTTCTTTCTCTAAAAGTGAACTATGAATAACAACTGGAACAAATGTGGCACAAACCTAAAGTGAGGCCAGCTGGTTAGGCTAGCACTGCTGTTGTCGCATTACAGCCCAATTGTGACAATTTCATCAAATTGACGTATACTAAATCGTGTAGAATTACTATGGGGTGATATACAAAAAATGTTTCTAAAGTAAGCCATGGAAGAATCACTCATGTCGTTGCATACAATTCTTTTTTGAATGAAAATTCGAGTTTAAGCTATATTTGTTTCTAGCTATCACGGACGTGACTCGTATCTGTCTTTATCAGTTATTCCATAAACATTTTAGTGGATCACACGTTCCTTTTCTTTTGTCATTATAGCTATAGCCTTTTCTTTCAAATTCTTCCATCTCTTTCTCCACTGGCACATAAATATGTTGTAAGCGTATTTTAAAACCAGACTTTATAAAACTCTGCTTCAAAATGACTTCATATTATAAAAACATTGTATTTTTACAATCGGCACTACGTTTTTAAAGCTTATTGAAAAAATAAAATGATTTTACAATTCACCTAGCTCGGGTTAGGCTTTACATAATACCGTCGCTTGAGAAGAAAACTATCCTACGTCCATTTTTTTGAAAAATAAGTCCTATTTCATTGTAGCTTTTTGCAATACATGTCCTAAGAAGCCGTATGGGGAACAAAAATTACCTAGAATTGTCTTCGTTATAGGGCAATAAAACTTTTAAATGCGTAATATTCAAAACTAATAGGAAATGACTTAGGATAGTATTCTTCTCAATCAACAATACGCATATGCCTTGCTTCGCCTTATTCCAAAATTCGCCAGTTTTGTAAAATAATAATAGTTATTAACATTACTGTTATATTACTATTTACATAATAATAGTTTTGTAAAATAAATTAAAAAGTATGATATTTTTGTCTGAGTGGTAAACATAACTCAAACATAAAATACTAAAAATGTATTAAGAAACTTATAGGTACTTATTTTTAAGTATATTTTGAAAATAACGACATGTAAAAGGAAACAGAAACCATATAAAAGTGAATAATGAATGACACATACCGATTATTTATTCCCGCAAGAGCCACTGACATGTAATTTCATGTGCGCCTTGAAACAAGAGCATTTATTTAATATGCATTGATTTTTATCAAGTTTACACATACATTTTCTTAAGCCTTTTTAAATTTGAAAAACATTCCCACTGCTTTTCTCAAACAAATATTTTTATTCACTTGGAACTTTAATCCGTTGCTCTCTATTCCGCTGATTTCGTCTCTGGCGAACCATCGATTTAACAGACCATACCAATTTGGTACATTCCATTTTTAAAATCCAAAAAGATCCAATTATAATGTTTTGTACGATTCTCAATGGTTGCAACTTCTTGTTTGAGGTTTCAAGAATTTTTTCGGTAACACGTTTTTGTGCGATAGCAGTATCTATCATGTCTTTTATTTTTTCTTGATTAAGGTATAAATTACACATCCATTTTTGTCCATCACTAACAGCCTGATTAAAGGGATTTACCATCTTACATTTTAGGCAATAAAGATTTGTAACACGAATGTTTTATTGAATGTCACTTTTTAAACAGTAAACATTCACTTGGGTAAAGGTATTTGCAAACTAACATAACTATTTTAAAGTAAGCTGAATCAAGACATGGCATAGGCATATTTTGAAATGCGCCTAACCCACTAGGTGATTTTAAATATTTTTATTAATAAGCCTAAAATCTCGCCAGCGTTTAATAAGCCTTAAAAATGTAGTCTAATTGTAAAAATACAATAATTTTATAATATGCCAAGTTATTATAAAAAAGGCTAGGAGTTTTATAAAGAGTCTGGTTTTAAAATACTCCTACAAACATTAAATGCACTAAACATAAAAAATTTGCATGTTGAAAAATTATCCCATTTTATACTTGACTAATTACCAATTTTGATGTCTATTATTTAATGTATTTGAGATTTGGGCTTTTTTTAAAGACCCTTTTCATCCCCTTTGTGACAGAGTTTCCAATTTTTTTTTGTAATTTTGTCAGTTTAATAGGAAAATTTAATCCGGACCACCCTGTATAATAATGATGTACACTGTGGGCCAAATTTAACCATTAATAACTTTTTACCTGTTAAATGTATTTACTTAGTTTTTTGAGGACGGATTGGCTGGTACATTCTTTCTAGTATGTCCAGTTTTGGTTGAACATTTTTAGATATGACTGGACTTTTCTCAAAATGCTGCATTTAACGTCATTGCAAAAGAAATCGGATTTACCTAAAATGTGTTTTTAAAGCCAGTTCGTTATATTATAGATGACTTAATTTGTGATCCACTGATACTTATAAAACCAGTTTTTTATCTCAAGTTTTTATCTTTTTTAGATAATGGAGCCATAACTTTGAGAGTAACTAATTAAGTAACCATGGTATACTCATGTTTCTAGTTTTTAAAGCAAATATGTTAAATTATGATGTAATTTGTGTTTAAATTTTATTTCTATCAATTTCAAGATGATATTACTTTAAACAATTAATACACTTTTCTATGTACTGGATATTGAACACAAATTACGTCACACTAATATAGAATATTGGATGAAAAACTTCCTTAATTAGGGCCTATTAGGAGTTCAGGAGATTTCCTGAATGGCTGGTCATTATTTTCATGCTGAAAGATTTAATCTTAATAATTATCCATCAGAAATTGGGCCGGTAGTTGTCATTTTTTATTCAAGCATTTCAGATAGTTTAGAAAAAATCCTGCAAGTCCAGTCCTGTCTAAAAATATCCAACCAAAATTTGACATACTAGAATAACCCACTTGTCCTCCAAAAACTAATTAAATAGGTACAACAGGCAAAAATGTAGTAATGGTTAAAGACTGTAAAGTTTAATTTGGCCCACAATGCTTTTGTATTTTATTGTACCTACTCGATTCAGTATAACATAACCGATAGTCGCCAAGGATTTCTAGAAAAATCATTTTTTTATTACTATTAAGAAATTAATAGAACATATTTACAAAAATTACCAAAGTTAATATGAAGTTAATTATTACTAGTACGTCTGTATAGTATTCCTTTAAAGCATTTGCAAAAAGTGTTTTTATATGTATTATTTAATAGTCACAATTATAAAATTTTAGAGCACCAAGATTGTTCTTAGTTGTTATTTTTTAAATAATGTGCACTGCCCCCAAGCTTAGAGATATTAATAATACACCATTGTTTTATATATTTGTATCTTTTTCCATAATATATTCATAGAGAGAAATACAATTTTATATATATATATTTTTTTCAAAATATAATTTAAATGTGAGTACAAATTAAATGATTAATATTTGAAAAATTAGATAATGAAAAATCATAAATTAAATTAATATGAATAAATTAAATGTTTTAGAAGTTATGCGGTTAGCTTTTTTTGGGCAATATAATTCTCGGTCATTTTTGTGATTAAAAATCAAGCTATGCATTATATAACGTCATCTCTAGTATTTTCTAAAAAAATCATGTTTTGTATACTATTTGTTATTGTTATATGTACATTTTTATTTCTTACTCTAGTTAGGATTTTTTGTAGAAATAGTTAAATATATTTTATTTGTAACTTGGGTGTTTTTATTTCACATATTTTTTCATGTTGTTACCACTCCTACTACTATAGTCTGAATAAAAGAGGAGAGCAGTAAAAGTGGGAATATAACGTCACATTCCATAGGCGTACTTTGCAAAATAAGTTTATATAATATAAATAAGGTCACGGCATATAAAATGGTATATATACACTTCGTAGGTTAAATTTTGAATGAAAAAAGTTAATTATTTACAAAAAAATTCAAATAAACCTTATGCTTCTGACAAAATTGTTGCACTTTAACATTGAACGAATTAAATTTTTCCAATAAATAACAAGGATGATTATATGTTGTTAATGGGATTAAACTTTTATTAATCTCTTGACATTAAAAGTAACACTTCGGTACCTGAAATTAAAGATAAAGTAAGAACTATCTTTGAAAGTCTCTGTCTTCACTATAACTACTGGTATCATTGTCTTTTCTGAGGTTTATTAAGATATGATCTATTAAGTGTTCCATTACTAAATCTACTTTCCAAAATGAATTTTCCACCTTTTTAACAGGATCCATGCATTTTCTCCAAAATGTTCTCCATTTACATCTAAAACTGTCTTCAAAAACAAATTTCGCACATCAGGTAATTTAAATGTTATATTGTTTCGAGAAACATAACCTTTTAATTATTGTGACCAGATCAGTTCAATGGAATTTAACTCTGTGTGGAAGGGAAGCAATCTGAGAATTTCATTTCCTTTTTCTCAGGCCATCTCGTTTATAATATATTTTTAAGGGAAGTATTGTAATCGTGGAAGGTCACCTTCCGAATTTATTTCGGTTTAGGGTCCCTAGATTACGAAAAACATGTTTCCCATTTCGTCGGTCTGTCTGTTGGCACGATAGCTCAAAAAAGGCTTTATTCGCTCCGTGCGAAGTCATGGTAGGGAAAGCAAAAGCGATACTAGCTTTTAGGGCGATATTTTGTAATTTTGGCCAATCAAATATATGTATATATTTTACTTATTTTTAGAAAAATAGTTAAAAGCAATACAATGAGCAACCGGAGTTGCTGTGTTGCAAATTGTAAAAATACTAGTAAAAAAAACAATGTAAATTTTCAGTAGTAAAATGGAAATTAAATCAAAGAAACAAACGTACCTATAATTGCAGTAAAAAGGGAATAGTATATTACACACCGAGGTGGGAAGAGTTTCATTCCTGTCGTGAGATTAGTTAGCTATGATCTCGAGACAGGAATGAAACTTCCTACCGAGGTTTGTATACTATTTTATTTACAACCATCATATTTCGATCAAAGTTAATAAATCTCTGTTTCGTTCTGAACATACCTAAAATATTACATTTAACGACAAATCACCAAGCGCTCGGTTTTCTCAGAATAATCAAGTAAATATATTGTTACTGTGTTTACGGGGTAAACAACTGTCACCAATATAAATAAATGTCAGATAAAGCCGGATATTAAATTCGCGAATAATAAATATCAATAAGTAGTCTGTTGTATTTTAGTTCATTCTTGTTTTTTATTGTTTGCCATTAAATAGGTATTTTAAAATTTGTCAAAAAAATGTGTTATTTTTTTTAAATATAAAAAATATTCATCTAGAATAATAGATAAAATGAGGGCGGGAAGTAGAGGTGTGTAATGTGACACTTCCCAACCTTCAATGACGTTAGTAATGACAACATTACATATATGGTTGTAAATAAAACTAATTACAAACCTTTATTTTTGTAACAAGAGTATTTGATATCAATTGAAAATAGTAGACATCAGAAAACTAAAAGGTTTTAAATACTTAAATTAATATTATTTTACGATGTTCTTCAAAATTCCTTAAGTACATGTTCAGAAAGGAAATATTTCTACTTTCGATTATCGTCTGTATCTGGAATGTAAATTTGTGACTGACTGATTGGAAAACAGTTATTGAATAATTAATTCTATATTTTCTTTCAAACTAAAAATGAAAACAAGTATAAATTACATTCGAAAATATTACAACTATTTTTTGGGAATAAATTTTGAATTCATGTTTGACATTAACCTAACTGAATTAGGCAACTTTTTATACACTTTCTCGTAAATGTTGCCTAATTACCTCTTCTGTGTCTTAGAATATATATAGTCAGGAAGGAGGAATCCTAAACGACCTAGGAATCGCGATGGTATCTAATTTTGACAGTGAACTAGACGAATATGACGACAAGTGTTTCCGGTCTACCAGTGACGTACTTTCATAAAGGGGCGTAGAAAAGAAAATAATAAATTCTCATTCGCATTTTATCTAAATTTACCGAATTCTCTCATTTTAATGAATTGCTATTTTCTTGCGAGTTTGCATTTTTTTTATTAACCTTCATTATGTGAATAAATTTTACTTTAAAATTGCATGTTGGGTGGGATAAATATAGGAAAATATTTTTGGGATAATTTATAGATTTAATTTGAAAAATCAAAGCAATAATCTATTTAAAAAAAATATTGCCTTTTTTACTTCTTTATTATAACAATGTCTCTATTAATCTACATTTTACAAATTATTAAGGTTTTAAAAATAAATATGTTTCGTATATATGCGTTAAAAAAAATTAAATATCCTATACTTATATTTAGGTCAAACACCGCTGTGATAGTTCTATCTTAGATGTTTTTGTTGGAGTAAATATAAAACTTCCTAATATCGAAGAGAATTTATGATCATTTTTACATAATATTATTAGTAATATTTTTTGCAGGACAATTTTGCATAAGCAGGTAAAACACCTTTCCAAGACAGGATCCTATAACGTAATAATGATTCTATGAGTGCAAAATAGATTATTTTTAAATGTACATTCAACGCATTATTTGTATGCTTAGTCCAGTTATGATGAGAGTCAATTTGAACTCTAAGGTATTTGATATCATTTGTAATACTTATATGAAACTACTGAACGTTACCTTTTATTGTTTCTATAGGAAGAGACCATCTTTTTGTAACTGTATAATGGAACAACATAAGTTTTATCAAAGGTTTGTAAGTTTTTATATATAAATCATTCGAAAATTTTTATAAGATCTGTTTCTATTAATAATTTTAATCAATTCCAGTTCTCTCCATTTTACAGAATAACTGTGTCGTCTGAAAAACAAATTATTTCAAATAAAATTAAACAAGATAGGACCTAAGACAGTATCTTGAGGCATGCGATATGCTACTTATTTCCTTACTTGAGCTATTATTAATTCTATTTGTGTTCGTTTTTGTAAATAACTTTGTAATAAATGGGCCCGTTCACTTTTATTTTTGAATGTGAATTATTTATATATTTATAAAGATATTAAACTCTTTTGTCTGGTGGTACTTTTCCCGTTAAGATATTTTTGCTAGAAGTAAGGGAATTCCCATAAAATTCTTTCAGTGACTCATTGCGTCAGAAAACCCCTAATTCCCTTCAGGTCTCGTATCGGTTAATAGTTAAAAGGGCGCGGTTGTCGGATGTATTATTGCACCATCATTCCTCTTCTGCATTTATTAAAGAAATTTACATGATAAAAATATATTATTTTTTAAAAATAATGTGTTCATATTTTCAGATAAAGCTGGAAGCCCTACCTTTTTTAAATTTTAATAAAAACAATTAGTATTACTCAAGCTGAATATTACCAGATCGAAATTTTATTTGAGAAAATGTATCTGGTAAACGTGACAACGTTGTAAGTACTTCTAAATAGTGTTGTCTACACACACTTCTAGAAATAAATGCAACGTTGCCACGTTTACCAGATAAATATTGCAAATCAAATTTCTACTTTTTGATTATGGTCTGGTTAATTTTCAGCCTGAGTAATAATAATTGTTTTAATTAAAAAGTAAAAAATAAGCTCCCAGCTTTAAATCTGAAAATATAAGTTCATGATTTTTAGAAAAATTATGGAATTTTACTATTTAAATTACATATATAAATGCAGAAATGCTATATTAGGGATACTTCCGACAACCCCGCCGTCTTTAAGCATAACCGATACGAGACGTGAACGGAATTAGGGATTTTCTGACGCAATGAGTCACTGAAAGAATTTTATGGGAATTCCCTTACTTCTAGCAAAAATATCTTAACGGGAAAAGTACCACCAGACAAAAGAGTTTAATATCTTTATAAATATATAATTAATTCACATTCAAAAATGAAAGTGAACGGGCCCATTATATAGGGTGCATCTCATTCATGATATAATAATAAAAAATGAATCTTTTCGATTGTATTACAAATCAATATACTGTGATGTTTTTTTATTTTAAAACAACAGTTTTTTTAGCCATGATTGTCCACTATTTATTTACACTATTCCACTTCTCGACACCAATGTGATGTTTGTTTACTTTAAAACAACAGTTTATTTATTAATAATTTATTTAAACACTTATTTATTTTATAACACAACTATTTAAATTTATATATACTTCGAATGTCTTTAAACTGATCACTATTTATATTCACCACTGTCTATCTACTAATTACTATTTATCTTCACTGTCCATATACTAACGACTGATGGCTCTCCTCCACCAATTTATATACAAATTGGTGGTCTAGAATGGTCCCCCACCAAAATTGCCAGAAGGTACCAGAAACGTTATCATGTTATATTTAGACTAGAAATAGTATCTCGTTGACTCTGGAATGTTCGCGAAAGTGTATCCACCATAGTCGTCCCATAGGTTTGGTCTTAAGGGGTTTAATTATGTATAATAAGCGGACAAGTTGAGCCTCAAAGGCCAAATAATACAGAGAGGGACTTGGAGTATTATAGAGCATGACTGAATAATGAAATGGCTCACATTACAATACTTTTATTAAAACCAAAAAATACATATTTTAATTACGAATTCTATTTAAAATAATATTGTCAATACATAAAAATTCCCCCTTTAGTATTGTAGTTGGCGCTGCCTTCACACACGGGGCGAAAAGAAGAACTTGAATTTGTGTATGCAGATAAGGTTCTTTTCTGGCTCAAAACCAGTTATACTTCTGATCAGTTATATACAGGATAAGCAGTTTGTTTTTTAAGTCGGCAGATTTCGTCTAAAATTGGTATCTGAGAATTTTAGAAGCCAAAGATAACAGATCCAAAATAAGTTTTAAAAATTCAAAATGGCAATGAAAGGAATCGCATTTAATCAAAAAAGGTTCCCGTTGAATGGAAATAAAATCGTTCTTTTGGTTTGTGCAACTGGACCATTTTAAAAGCAGCCAATCATTATTCTTCAATAACGGTGAACTTTACGAAAAATACCGAGCGGACGCTAAGCCAGATTTCGGTCGGGATCAAGAGGAAGATCAATGGAGAGAGAAATGTGAAAAAGCGTTTTTGGTTTGGTTTTAATTTTAAATTATTAAAATTTAATTACTTAGGCGTTCCCTCTGTTTTTACTTGCCTTGCTATATATTATAAGAAGTTCTGCCTTTATAAGAATTTAGGACTGATATTATTTTTAGAATAAAGCCATTTTTAAATATCTTCTTTTTTCCATCTTGTAGCTATATAGTGACTCCTTTAATCGACTGTGATAGGATGCATTATCCAAAAAAATAACGGAGTTGGCTGGCATTTTTTTTATAATATTCTGAAACCAATTTTGAAACGGCCATCCATATTTCTTCATGGTAGTCTTTTTTTTTCTTTGCCTCAAACATTAATAAACCATCTGGCAAAAATCCATCGGCGCTTCTGATGTGAGTTATTATTAAACGATTTTCTGTTGGATTTTTTAATCGACAAGAGGCCCCTTCCATAACGGCTTGTTTTTTAGTTTTAATGGAGGTATCTTGCTAAATTTTTGTTACTGTATGTAAAGCATCATGCTTCATCTAAATAAAATACCTATTTGAGCCGATCCCTTGCGTCCGCTATTTTCCTTAAATATTTATTTCTCCACGCAATGATTTCACCTTTCTCTGTTAAATAGCTGTTTCTGTCACGTTTTTGTAACGAAAATTTAATTCATGAAATATTTTCAGATGAATTTCTGAGTGTAATGTTTTAAGTGCGTAGCAATTTCATTTTGAAAGAATAAAGAATATACTATTTGCCTTATTACATTCTTTAACCAAGCTTCAATAAAGGTCTTGTTTCTTCCTTTTTCGGATATCGAGACTTCTCCAATAACTGTATCCTCTTCAATACTGTTATACACTGTCTGCTTAAATACTCCAGTATAGGTCTCACATTTAGTGGCTTTTATTAAATCTAAAGGATAACTTTTATTCGGCCAATCAGATTTATTAAAATTTTCATTTTAACTACAAATAAGCATAGAAAGATGAGGTATAAATAAAATGTCTGGTTCTTGAACCTGTAGTATGTTCTGCAAATTAAATTACTGCACTCCTTTCTTCTCTAGACTACAATTACATCCCGGTTTTTAGTTTCACGTTCCTTAGACTGAAACAGGAAGCTGAAATGCCAGTGCAGAGAGCGATTTGACTTTTTTGCTCTTATATAGTATATAGAAATACAAAACAAAATAATTTAATGAATTCTTTATTAGTTGTCTACTTGTAAAACTGGCTACATCCGATCTAGCAAATATTGAGACCGCAAAAATGCCAATATTCCTAACTTTGAAGAAAATATTCGTTTCTGAATATGTATTGTATTAGACATGTTTTTTTTTTAGTAATGGGATGGCATCAGACATGCAAGCTATTTACCACAGAAAGTTTAAACTTAATAATTTTCATATATATTACGTTAAATATCTTAGTATTTTGAGTAAATTTAATAATAGCATCAAAAAATGATCTTATCTGATTGAACTAAAAGTGAAGAAATATTGAGTGGAAGTGGGAGTTTATTTAAATCTTGATATAATACGGTGGTATGTTGAGCATTTTTATTACCATCTAAAAATAAATGATTGATATCTGCTACAGCGTTTATATTGCAATATGGACAAAAGGGAGAATCCAATATTCCAATTTTACATAAATGTGCAGGGAATCGGCCGTGATTGAGCTTCAAACGAGTAATTATAGATGACTGATATTTATTATAGTTCCATGAACTGATGTAAGGAATATTCTTAGGAAGATTTGGATGTATACTATAATAGTGACTTATTAGGGACAATTTAAAAAATCCTGTTCCAATAAACAAGATGGTATAGAGATTTGAAGATTGGATCAAAATCAAGACACATTACAAATATAAAAATATATCTTTTTTAAATATTTCAAGTTTTATAAATATAATACAGAAAATGTGGTTCTAATACCTAAATATATTTTGTATTATAAAATAAAGTTATAAAAACTTGAACAAATCTGGAAAAATTGAGAATGAATAACATTTCAGAAGAAAAAAAGCCTAAAAATGTTGAACAATTTTTACTTTTCTATCTGTATACAGATAAGGAAAGTATAGGAATCATGATTTTTCGGACGATTTCTACGTTTTGGGTTCCCCTGAATCTGTTTTGACTATTTTCGACATGATGTCTGTATCCATGATAACTCATGAACGGATACAAAGAAAAACACCAAATTTTAAACTTAAGCTTTATTCCAGCCTGCGGTGAACTGATTAGATTTTGGACAGAGTCTAGACATCTGGGGGGTACTTTATCGGGGGTCATTTTCATATTTTATAAAAGAAAATTCTTTAAATAAAAGTTACTTCTATTATTCTCTATAATTTTTGTTCTATACAAAATTTTCCTAAAATGGTCCGTATTCGAGAAATTTTTCAAAATGTAGAAAAATTTTGATTTTTAAGAAAATTGTTGAACTAATATATGGCGATATCGATCTCTATAATTTTTGTTTTTTACAAGATTTCTTTAAAATGAACAGTTATGGAAAAATTTGAGGAAAAGTATAAAATTTAATTTTTTAGCATTTTCGTTGGCAATGAGTTTATATAGAAAAATGTTTGGAGTTAGATGTGGAAAATGTATATAAGTTAACCTATATTTACAGAGGTGCTACAATATAAAATAACCGAAAAAAGCCTGTAATAACTAGATAGGAACGTCATGTGTTTGACACATCAGATTTTCAAGAGAGTTAAACGAATAGGGTTCAGGTATTTAAATATTGGATTGTGGTATTTCTTTGGAATCATCACAAATATCTTTTTTAGCTAAATTCTGAGAACATTTCATTGTTAATTATTTCAATAATTTGAATAAAGCTGCTTTTGAAACAGACTTACATTGGATGTGGCCAGTTTTGCACTGCATACCCATATTTGAGCAGACTTCAGTCAGATGGAGTATCTTATGATATAATCAGAATATACCATGTAATAAAGCATATTTCATAGTATACTATTGCACTTTAAAATTGGTTCTGAAAATGTTTGGATGTAGCCAGTATTGCAAGTAGACGATTCATATTACTGATCACTTTTGAAAATGAATAGTAGTGAAATCATATTTCTTTTATATGTAACTAGACAATATTTTATCAATTTCAAATTCAGAAAAATGTGAATACATTATTTTTTAATAAAATGTTTAAAAAATCATAATCAAGACCATCAAAATTACATCCAAAGGAATCAATTTAAACAAAGTAATAAATTTTAAATTTTTTATGTAAATAAAAAATACATTTATTCCTTCTTTTCTTTAGGTTTCTTAGTTGGTACAGGTTTCTGCGACTTAAGAACAGCACTAGCTCTACGAAGAGCAGCCTAAAACAAAATTTCAAAATTAAATATATTTCTAACATAATATCGTGGACTACAAAATTAACCGGACATTAGATTTTTGATGGTATGAAATCAAATTTTAGTTTATTTTGTTAAAAATATTTATAATTAAACATTAATTAAAATTATTTTGATTTAATTGTTAAAATAATAAAGGTTTTTATTGAATGTTAATTACAATGATAATAAAAAACTAACACTAATTCATGTACAATAATAACAATTACAGTCAAAAGGTAGAGTTCAGATTTCTTGGGAAGATTCTCTTAAATCTTCTTAAGAATAAAATAAAACAAATAAATTTCAATAATCATTAAAAAAAAAAAGAAAATTAATATAGTCAGTTTGGAAAATGAGATAGATCTGCTTGTTAACCAGTAATCAATTATTAATTATTTTATCCCATAAATAAAAATTGAATACTTCCGTTCAATAAGGATTCTTTTATTTTTCTTTTATAATTAGAAATAGGCAGTATTTTAAATTCGGTTGGGATGAGATTATAGATTTTTGGTATATATTGTAAGAGAAACTGGATCGGAACAGCGTTGTGTTGTTTCGGGATTGATATGATGTCCTTAAATCTAACATTTATGTTGTGTACCTCAATCTTTTTTTAATTTTTTTATATAGTAAAGAGGCATGTAGGATCCTTAGATTATTTAAATTCAACCAGCCAAGTTTCGCCATATGTTGTGAAGTGAAGATCATCGGGACGGTGGTGTAGCGGTCTATCGCGCTTATATTCATTTATAGGCAAGTTTATGAGTCTGAGACTGCTGGGTTTCGAATCCCAGACCAGACCATGTGGATTTTTAAAATTGCATGGTTCGGTTTAGGATTTGATGTGTGGCGTATTAATAGAAATTCAAATTCAATTTCTGTTGATATGATATGCAGATTAAAAAAATTCGCCATACATTACCGTCTCGATGATGGTGGGTGAGGTTTTCCGGGGTTTCCTCACCTGTAAGTCAAATGCCACCATCAATCATCTTTAAGTCGCCCCGGAGCGCCACGGCAAATAATAATAATAGCCGTCCCTTCCCCTACACAAGTCGTTCAGTCGACTTCAGGGGTTGAAATTCACTCGTAAGGGGGTGAATTAGGGAGAGTATTATTATTATTATTATTATAAGTAGGGCTATGACGTCTTATTCCATAAATTAGTCATACACATGCATTTTGAATATGTTGAAGACGGTTATTAAATTGGGACAAAGCAGGTCCATAAATTACATAATTTAGTTGTGAACGAACCAGACTGTCACATAGTAGTATTTTTGCTTATTATTTATTGTTTCGGCCTTTACTTGATGAAAATCCATATTATCTTAAATGAGTGAAACCAAATTTGGTAGATTTTCACAAAACTTTTATTTAAAAAAATTTGGTTTTACTCATTTAAGGTATTTTTGCCTGCTTATTTAATAAGTGTCTGTGTGAATATATTAGTTTTAGGTTTGAGAAAGCCTTTCTTACAACAAAAGATGTATTCTAAGAAAATGTGAGAGAATTATCAATATATATTCCCAAATTTTTTTCACAATCAGAAAAATGAATTGGTTTATTATCAATCGATTCCTTAGCTAACTTACGACCATATAACATAGATTTTGATTTAGTGGCATTGATAGAATTTTATGTTCTCAAGTCATCATTTATATTATAGGAAGCTTCTTCAATTTCAGATTCTTTAAAATCAAGATACAGTTGTGTATCATCTGCATAAAAATGATTTCATATATTTATATAAGGTGTCTATGAAATTGAGAAGTATATAATGAGAATAAGAGAGGCCCTAGAATAGACCCTTGAGGTACGCCGCGAGTAATTAGAATATCGTTCAAACTTTTTTCACATAAAACTACCTTTTGTCCTTTGGTCTAAATATGAATGAAGCAGATTTAAAGTAGAAATGCCAAATCTTATATGACAAATAGATCAATATTTTTCTGAAAAACTCATCTGGTTAATTTTGCAGTCAAGTATATTTTTTTTCAATAATTCATACAAATGTTAAAAAAAACTACCTTGGTAAGATCTGTGCGGTACCTATTTGCATTCATAAGCCTTTTCAGTTTGTGCAAAGACCTCCTTGGACCAGATTTCATGGTTCTCTTAATGGTATTTTGCTTGGGCTTACTCTGGAAATATATATGAACTTTTATTACACATTTTTGAGTCCTTTGTAGAAAGGTTAAAAACATCGGGCACTAACATAAAGTATCCTGTAATTTAGCTTACCTGTTTGCTTGCTTTCTTGTATACAACTGTAAATCCTTTTTTGTCAGGAGCTCCTACAATTCCTACAGATTTCTTATGAATCAAACCATTGTAACGATAGGAGCTTAAGTTGATTAAGTTATTGGGTTCCTACAAAGTAAACAAGTCATATTAAACTGATATAAACCGAACAATCAAATTAAAATTCCTTTTTAACGAAAGCATTTTTGAACAATTTTGCAGATTATAAATATCGTCCTATGAAACCTTTCAGTTCTAAAATAAAAATTAAATATACTTACAGTGCTGAAAGGTTTCGAAATGTTCCTTTTCTTCAAAAGAAAAGCATTGTTGTTGCGGATTATTCCCCAAACGAGATGTGACGACATTTTGACCTAAAATAAATACATTAGACTTTACTCGTACTTTTTTTGAGAACGTAAGTGATTAATGCTTTCATTAGAGTAACATTTTTCAAGTAATGTATGAAATTAATGTTATTTAAATAATAAATTTAAACATGCATGCCTACCTGTCTTAACCTCAGTTCTAAAAAGATGGCTTCTTCCTTTTTTCTGCCGGAAACGGAAAAACTAATAACGTCAGTTGTCAAGGCAAAGTTTAGCGACCACCAATCACTAAAACCTTTTCTTAGAAATGACAACTGTTTTAAGTTCAGCCATGGTTCAGGTAATAAAACAAAATAGTTAAATATAACACAATATTCTACAGAGATACGTATACAATATGAAAAATGAATATGCAGAACATATAAAAAATACATATGCCTGGAATATCTTACTAGAATGTAGAACAGAAGTAAAAGTTGAAAATGCTTTTGCCAGTTCTCCCACTTTATACACATAAATTGACAGGTTGTCAGCGGATCTCACCGAAGTGGACGCGATACATTGGCGTACAAAATTATTTTATAGATGTTAATAACAATTTCGAGTAAATAGTTTAATAAATTGTGAATAGCTGTTGAAATTTCGTAAAATTATAATTTGAATATTATAATACATTTTTAATAATTATTTATAATCCATAAATACATGCGATTGTCCGGTTCCGCCGATAACAATTTAAAATTACTTATTCTATGAAACGACACTGGCATGTAAACATTACAATACTGTGAAATTCTCGGAGCCGCCCGACGTGGTTTGACGTTTACCCCCTCTCTACCTACCAAAAGACTTTTCAACTTTTACTTTCTCTATAATATACGAAATATATTCTGTGAATATTCCATAAATATTGGAATATATTTTGGCAAATAGGCAGATTGGTGGCATATAGTGTGCTGCCTGGGAATGCTTGCTTGTGCTCAACGTATTTTGCTGCGTTTGAGAATCCACATCGGATGCATTTTTTACATCTCGAGCGTTTTTTATCCACATCGGAAACATCCGTCCCATTACCCAGACAGCACACCAAATCCTTTGGATATCTACTGAACATCCCAATATCCACTGAATGTCCAGTCCATGGTGGATATCTATTTTATATCCAGGAAATGTAATTTATAGACATGCAAATGTCCATAAATAATAGTAATTGTATAGCAAATTATTAAAAAATTACGCCATTGTGGCTAATAGTACCGTTCAAATATTTAAAATGAATTTTTTTATGGTGTATTATTCAATATCCCATGGACATCCACTAATGCTGCGTTTGAGAATCCACATCGGATGCATCTGAGATGTAAAAAATCTTTGATCACGTGGTTCAGTATACGTAAATGTAATGGGACAGATGTGTCCGATGTGGATAAAAAAACGCTCGAGATGTAAAAAATGCATCCGATGTGGATTCTCAAACGCAGCATATATATATCAAAGTCTAAGCGCGGACGCAAACCATCGTGGATATCCACTAGATCACTAGATGTAATTTTTGATTTTGCTTCCTATGTATAGATGGCGATACCACTTTCGTATCTACTCATGCTTAACCCGCCGTAATTGAGTTCGATCGACATTTTTTTCACAATCAGACTTCATTAGAGACTGGAGTCTACAATTTCCATTTATTGCTGAAGAGTCCTAATAAGGATAACTTACTCCTAATGCCCTTAGTGGGCAAAATCAAAGGCAGATTGTTGGAAATATTTTTTATCTCTATTTTCTTTCGACGTAATTCAATAATCATTGGTTACTTATGAACCTCTACTAAAGATACCTATAAAAGATTTTGCTGAATATCTGAATTCCATATCCTGGGATATAGACGGACATTTGGTTGGATATCCATTAAATATATTCTGTGAATATCGCTGGGATTTCTTGTATTGTCTGGAAGATACTAATTAGATATTTTGCTGAATATCCATAATCCATAGGATATCTATATTCTGGATATAGACGGACATTTGGATATCCATATTAGTTCCACGGAATATTTCTGATATCCTGTGGATATATTGGATATCCACAAAAGATATTTTGTGGATATCTTTGGGATTTGGTGTGTTGTCTGGGTCTACACATGACGTAAACGCTGCCATGACACAATGCGTGATATCCCCCCTGAGCTTAAGTAGTAGAGGCAGGGGGGCTTATAACATATGCGCGTTATATCAACAGGTTAGTGCGCAACACATCCGCGCATATCAGTCCGTTTTACAATAATAAAATGATATTTAAATTTAAAGTACACTGAATAATTCAAATATATTTCGCTTAATAACACGGTAAGTATTGTTTTAAAATTATATATTTATATAAATACTACAATTATTTGAAAAACATGAATTAATCAATTATTTGTACAATGGGATTGTCACCCGTTCGAACCGATACCACAGTATAAAGATTATTACCAGTAATCGCACTCCCTGTCGGCGCCTTTGATCTAGATGTCCCAGTTCTGAACTCGCGCAGGCATCGACGCGCACTTATGGCCACTGTTAATTCGACCGCCAATTTTAAATAGTTAATGTTATTAATATTAATTGTTTACATTTTTAAGTAATTTTTATAGTTAAGAATGATTGTTTAATTTGTAATATTTTTAATAATTAATTTTTGTCATCCATGATGCCACCTTTAAAATTTAGCTGACCCGGATAAAAATAGCAAGAGAAAAAAAATTTTTATTTTCAAGCTTATTTTATTCAAAATAACAATTCACACATGAAAAGAACTAATTTTTATTTCCTTAAAAATATAATTAAACATTGCATTTTTATTGTCATAAAGTATTTTTAAATGTTTCGAAATTTAAAGCTATATTTGTTATTACTTTGGCATAGTGTTACTAAATTCTTTTGTTCACTTTTCTCTAAATACTTGACACATATTAAAATTTAGTGGAGGTAGAATATATATTTTTTATTTTGGTGAAACGCGGTTTAACCTACAGATAAATTAATATTAAATATTAATTTATCTATGGTTTAACCCCGAGAAAATATCTAGTAAACCGGAGCTCGAAGACCATATATTAAAACCCGGAGTCTCCAAGTGAAACCAGGAGAGGTGGCAATTCTACATCCATATCAAATTTGTAATCGTATATTTATATATTGACACACAAAATCACATCAAAGTTGCACCAGGACAACTTTATGTGATTTTAATGTAGTAATGTATAAAATTATTTTTATTTGTATTAAATCTAGAACAATTATATTTTTTACAAATATGTAAATTTAAAAAATGTAGATATATGTATATAAATTTTAGTTTGTCGAGTTCAAATCAATTGATATAAAAATAAAACAAGTATTCGGTAAATTTTTTTTATTAAAATCTCATACATGCGTACATATAAAAAAATTAACAAATTCTAAAATAAACGTATACAAATGTTGTAGAATTATTAGTTTTTATTTTTTTTGTTGGTTTTTTGATTTTTTAAATTTGTGTTCACATATTTTAAAGTATAAAATATTCTTAATCGTACATATAAATTTAACAAATATGAGATGGGAAAATTCTCGCAAGGATGTACATAAATAATTTTTTCTATATTGCGTTTAATTTCATATCCAACACCGTTATTTAAAGCTATTGTGGGAAATAATTCACAGAATTTTTGATCGAGTTTATGAATATACTCGTAAAATGATTCTGGTGGCATGATCAAATTTCCAAATATATTTTGGTCACTACTTCTATAAGCTCTCATTTGGCAAAGTACCGTTTCATTAGTGAGCTCGGTTTGTTCTTTTGAGAACTGCAGGCAAATAGGACAGGAATGTTTTCCCAAACATTTTTTAATGAGATAGCCTGCTACCCAAGATAAAGCATTATTTCAGGTAAAAAATGCCAATAAAAATGCAAAATTTTAGTTATACTAATTAAAGTAGAGCTACAAACAAAATCCCACTAATTTTTAAATAAAATATGCAGGTATCTATATTACAGACTGAGAAATAGTTGGACAAATCCCTTACCGGTGGCGCTGCAAGCAAACCTGTTGCCATATTTCTTCAAAGAAACGGCAACTCTTAATTATCCTTCCTCCATGAGTAGAGGACTATAAATATTTTATTTATAAGCCGCCTTAAAATACATGGTAATGTTTCAACAAAATACAACATACTTTTGTATCCAGTACAACAAAAAGAGAAATATTAGTTGTAACAAATTTTAAATATAACCAAATTACTTATTAGGGGTTAGTTTTACCCTAAAGTCGGGTGACCTTGACCCGCATGGGTAACTCTAGCTCAAATCAGTAGTTATTTTTGTTATGGGTGAGTCAGTCACCCTCTACCTGCGAGTGGCTTTACACACCCTTTTTATTTTTTATTTGAAAAATTAGACCATTTGAGATATTTTTGCTTAGTAATTCTTAAAATATAACTGAAGACTAAATTATAGCGAAACTGCAAATTTAGATTTGCTCTTATTTAACAATTGAAACTAGCTTTAAATTTTGACAGTGAGTATTTAATGAATAATAGTTACGTGTAAATTGTTTTAAGTTCGAATACTTCATAAACCTGAAAATTCAGTGTCTTTCGTTCAAAATAAAATCTTTTCTGGTTTCTTTTATGCTACGAGTTTACCTGTGGGAGCCTGTCCTTTTGATGCTAAGTACCCCAGCGGTAAAATAGTTTTATATTATAGTTGGAATGTTTAAAAATGCGGGCAAATAAAACACAAATTGGGATTTTTTAACTTTTTATTCCTGCAATTCCTCACTGTAACACTTCAATTACAAATGCGGAACTGAATTCTTGTTATCAACTTAAATTATTCGGCCATCGCCTGAAATAACTATTTTAAAAGCTACTAGAAAATAAATGAGAAAACTGATAATACATAATTAACAATGATAAAACTAAACTTGCAAATTGTTGTAGTAGTACACACATTGATTTTACATTGAATTTCGAATGTTAAATATTATCATGGCAGTTTACTGTATGTTGCAGCTACAGAAATCTGATTTTACAACTTTACATTTACAAAATTAAATTTATAAAACACAAAAAAATATATATAGAGAGTTAAGATGATCGGTGATGATAACACCAAACAGTGAGAAAACTATTTCAAGATCAATAATATTATTTGCCATCCCAAAAAAACTTTGGCCTCCATTTATCATCGGGATATTTAACACTAGGCTTAAAAAAAGGAAAAATCAATAAGAAAAATATTTTTCTCCATGAAAAATTTCAACCAACAGATTGATCTTCCATGATTGTGTATTACACATAAATTAGCAAAACTATATAAAATTATTTTAAATACAAATTCGCCCCCTAATGCATAGAACAGGGCTTTGCGCGCAATTTTCGAAAATTCAACCCAAAGCGTTCTATGTATTGGGGATATCTTATGTAGACCTAACATTTAAAATATTATTAAACATTTTTGATCCAGAAATAATTCCAAACCAGCTCGAATAGAGAAATTCTTATTTTTTTTTAAGAGTAACCCAGCTTACACAAAATAGACAAGAAATTATCACAAAAATACAAATTTTAAAACCTCTTGTGTTAGCTCAGTTACGAGACGAAGATCAAATATACAGGGCCATTCACAGCAAATGTTTTTTAATACAAATTTAAACGGAAGTTTTACACAAATCGCTAGATACATTTGGCAACATTATGTGATTCGTTTCAGCTTTTACTTGGTATTACTGTAGAGTTTTGTAAGTTTAAATCAAGACGTCAACATTTATTACTGTT